CTCTCTCTCCCCCCCCCCCCTCTCTCTCTCTCTCTCTCTCTCTCTCTCTCTCTCTCTCTCTCTCTCTCTCTCTCTAGCTCAATCATGTCCCGTCCATCTTTTTCTCCCTTTCACTCTCTTTGGGAAGGCTCTGGCTTGTTCTTGTGTTCAGTGCCATCTACTCCCTTCATTGCTGTTCTGTTCTTTTGCCCCTTCCAATAGCTCAACTGCTATTCTCTCGGCTCACAACTTTGTCATACGATCTAATGTTCTGAATGTCTCTTTTGTGTTGTAAACTGGATGAGCACAGATGAGCAAAAACTGGTGAAGAACTAGTTATTTTTCAATTTGACCCTTCTAATTATCCTTCCCATTGTTGCGATATTTTCTAAATCATGCCAGAAACAGTGCTGGAGGAATAAGAAAGACTGAAAAAAAAAGAGAAGAAATCCGAATCCGTTGTGTGTTTTAAATTATGAGCAATGCATCGCATGAATGCTTGGATAAAAACTATAAATTTAGCATAGGATCCCTTTGTGAGCATATCCATATTTGGCCATTTTCACATGGAGACAGCCGTATTTCTTCCATTGATCTCTGTCATAACCATATTGTCAACTTCTCTTCTTACGACCCTATAATTTATCATTTTTTTGTTCTTCAGTTGTAACTTTCAGCAAGCTTCCCCGTGTATTTTCCAAAAAGCTATCTTTCTCTTCCTCTCTCTTTGCCACATTCTTCCTTTCTCTCTCTACGACATCCGTCACCTCATAGTCCTGAGCCCTTATCGATCTAGCTGCCCCTCCTTCTCTCTTTTGGCTATTTTTTCTACAGCTCTGACTATGAAGCTGATGTCAACTGAAGCTGTCCCATTTCCGTGCTCTCGTTCGGTTTCTCTGTCGTCAATCTCATCTTCATCTTTGGGTGTCTCTCTTTCTCTTCCTTCTTTTTTTATATCCTCCTGTTTCTTTCTCTGTACACTCTGTTCTTGTCTTTGTTGTCTTCTTGCAACCTTTGCAATAGCTTTTCTCTACTATCTCTATTACAACCCCCATCACCCTTTCCTCTCACTCTCTCATATGGCTTGAGGCTTTCTTCAAGTGTTCCTCAGAGCAATTCCGAAATAGTGAGTAAGGCTGGGAAAACCATAGTTACAATTCTATGACTCTACGTGTCTTCACGATAGATAATTTTTTTAACCACTGAAACTTTTCTATTGCGGAAGTCTATATTTAAGAATTAAGTTACAATCGATTTAGACCTAGTGTGTTCTAACGACACAATCTGTTACTAAGTAGTCAAGCAAGTTCATTTTTCATATATATTTACGAATTTTTAAATAGAGAAAGATGGTGTCTAACAGTTTAATGAGAGAGACAGAGGGAAGAAAAAGGGGGGGGGCAGTGGGGGCAGAGTGGAGTTTAAGCAAGAAAGGGAAAAGACTAAGAAGTGAGAGCAGAAGGGATAAGGAGAGGGTTTGCAAAAGCCAAAATAGGGAAGAAAATAAATGTTGCAAACGAAAAAAGTTTGAACCAAAGTGGATGACGGAAGAGTTTAAAGATGTAGCAAACAGCGAACGATGGATAGTAAAGAGAAACATTAATGGCCATCCTATCGTTCTTTATGTCCACATTCATATTTAATATAACTTTTTGTCTGATTAATACTGAACTAATTTGCATATTTGAATGAAGATCCACTTATATTCCATCTGTCTTTATATCATCCAAAATCTGGCAATGTATGCAGTTTGTTATCCGTCCTTACCATCTGCATTTTCATTTATTCTACAGAAGTAATCAAACGTCAAATTTTCATCAGTTAGTATCCATACTCAAGACTATTCTTCCATAAAAGGAATTGTCTATGAGACGAACAGTTGGTTGGAACGATGAATAATAATCGAACCAAATGACAGAAATTACTATCTTCCTCGTTGGTTCGACCGCCACTATCCGCAAAAGGCTTAAAAGACACATAACCTCGAATATCCTTCTATTGCATCTTATTTTCTGAAAGCCTTGTGAGTGGGTCATCGAGCACAGTCTGTCTCGGCTAACATCTGTCTTCTACCCATTTGATCCCTTTTTTGATGACAAAAAATGTGTTCCCATTTTTTGTTGTTCATCATGTTATCGATCTGCGTGTGCATGTATATTCCCTGCATTCTGCTCCTGTCTAATTAACATTTCACTTCATCATACCTAATTTCAAATTTATTTCTTTTTTTTTTCATAAATTTTGACATTAAAGAAACTCTCATGTCATTGGAAGTCCTTTTGTCCGCCTTCTCGTCTTATATTAATGCTCTCCCAAACATCAACATGATACGAATGTCTTTCCCTTTCCAATGAAATTAGCCAAATTCCACTCTCAACCTCAACATAACAAAACATCTTCAATCGATATTCTCTCTTAACCATTTTTCTCTCGCTCTCTCAATCGATATAGAATAATTAAATTTCTTTTTTTTGTAAAAATAGCCTTTAATATAGAGAATGACCTTCCATCCTTTTGCGCTCTTCTTCTGTCGTCTATTTTTGTCGTCTTTCTCTTGTCTTTCCTGCCGTCTGTTCACATATCTGTTCGATTTCTCTGGGCTTAGTAACCAGGTCTTCTGATGTATTTGTTTTTGTGCAGCTGCTCCAACCGACTGTAATTAAGTGACCACCAGGTCGTGCGTACATATTCATCACGCATTTAATCCATTCCTGATCAGACCTCTTTGTCTTTTTGTCTCTATATATATATTTCATTGCTCTCTTCTATTCTTTCTATCTCCTTTTTTGTCTCTCTTTCTCTTTTTTCACTATCCAGTATATTGTATTTTCGAATATCTGTGAGTCAATCTACTGCTCTTTCATTTTAGTTCTAATCATGCATTAAACGTGTTTGGAAATTTCGAAAAAATCCTTTTAAATCCTTCCAATTCTGTTACAAATATTTCATTTCGAAATATGTTCTTGTTCAGTCATGCCATGTTCATATCAATTATGTCACAATCAAGTCTTCTTTAAGCATTCACCATTTTCTTCCTTAAATTGTAAAACTAACCTTGAAGTTGGTAATTTTTTTTTCTCATGTCATCTCTTTACTCAAATGAATATTTCTACAATTCAATTTTTTTCAATTTTTTTTATTAGCACATGAAATTCTCATCGTTGTTTATATTTCGAGTGTGTGTACAACTGTACTCGCTCATTAGGTCAAATCTCTTTTGCTATGTATCAAGAATAACCCTAGATGGTTATTGAAAATTTCTGAGAGCAGACGAATGGTCAAAGAATCCTCTCTACTAACCTTCTTCCTCTTCCTTACATCTCTTCAAAACGCAACCCAAGATGTCAAAAATGAGTAGCAAAACGAGAAAGAGTAAATGATCAACTGAGAGAGGTTTGAGAAAAAGAGTAAAGGAGAAATAGAAGGAAAGATTATAAAGAAAGGGTGTAGGACGAAAACGTCAATTAAGTTCTTTTCCGCTTACAGCATTCTTTTTTTAGAAACCCATCTTCACATTGTATTCTCTGTCTTCTTTCACATCTACTTACCCATATATTCTAGCTATACGTTCCAAAAGTAAACCTACTTCTCCCTTTTAATTATCAATTCATTTTGGCTGCAAATGCGTTTCAGACTGCTTTTCTTACTTTCATCCATTTTCATTTTATTCTTTTCATTTTTTTTTCTCATTAGGGTTCTGTCTAATTTCTGCATTTGTCTTTGTTATATTCACGAAATTTTTCCCTGTTCTCTGAAAGCTATTCCTCTCCTTATGTCTCTCTCTCTATCATACCCCATTACTGCTTTTCTGTCATTACAGCTCTTC